GGACAAATCAGGTTTCCAATTACGAACCGAGGAAGCCCCTACGGTCATTCCAAATTTAATTCTTCACCATTCGCAAACAGATTAAGGGAAGCAACGCACAGCAGTGCAAGCATTCTCGATTAATAAACGCCTGTCTTTGCCTAAATGTAATCAGGTTTTACAGAAATGCTCGTATCGAGCGTGAAATGCGGCGTTCTGAAAATGTATAAGCTAAATGTGGGAAATGTGCAATATTTACTGTTCTAATACTTTCTTGGTAACCTAATCATGCATTGCTCTCATTTTTGACCTTTTTACGTTTTGCCGTAGTGTCTAAGTCAGCGCTACCTTACAACCCTGATAGTTGTAAGCCTGAAACAGACCGAGAATAAATACAAGTCATGACTTAGCTAAAATATCGTTTTTTACATTTGGCCATCCAAGCCTTTTATAGCACAGCGCGTGTGTAAATTTTGAACGCTAACTTTAATGGGCTATCGATGGCACTCGATCAAGTCGTAAATATACTTCACCCACTCTCATTTGCTAAAATTTCACTACAAAGCATCAGGTTAAATGATCCACCCTGTTGAATCACGCTCCTGTGAAATCTTACTAAAACTAGGTAGTGATCTAGTTTAGAAAAATCAATAAACAATGCCTGTGATCTTTTTTGAATACACTCAATTTATTTCGGATAACCCAAGTTTATTACATGAAGATTCCATATATTATTCTCTCCTTCCAGTAAGAAATGAAATCTAAAAAGAAAAATTCGTTAATTAATTCATTCAAAAGATGAATATTCCACGTACGTTGGAAATATTTAGCGCATTCTCGCTTGCCCGTCTGATGTTTGGAATCACGTCGAGAATATTCAGCTTCGACTAGAAGAAAAAAACAAGTTTTTAGATCAATTGTCTGCTATTAGGTAATGAAATCTACTGCCACCTCTTTTATGTATTACAATTTGTACATTTCACGAAATGTATCAAAAATCTACTTGTCTGTGTAACTGAAGGCATAGATAGAAAATTGCACAGATTGTTTTGAATTTAAGCCTATCAAGTCAGTTTAGTAAAAGACATTTGTGGACATCCAAAGTGGGGCGTTAAAGTATGTAGTCTGGATGTTTCATTGTTTGAAGTAATTATTGTTTCCTGTTATATTAATATACACGACTGTAAGTAGTTAAAGGCTTCACTCGAGAACAGCATTTGGGCAACGACCAGACGCGTAAAGATTTTAACTAGCTAATTAAGCATGAATTGTCACACACCCTTCCTCTGCTAAATATTGTGAACTTAACTTTGGGCAATGGAATTATCGGTGTAAAGAGTAACTATGACATGCAAGTTTGCTAAAAATGAGTCGTGACTTCAAATGCGATTTCGAAAGTCGTCGATTTCAATTGTGGTTTTGGCATTTTGGGAGACAAATAATACTTAAGTTTTAACCAACGCAGTTCATGTCCCTTATTAAAAATTGAACATTTGAAGTTCAAAGTTAACTTCCGCTTCAACAATTCCTTAACGTCCAAACCAATATTTACGATGATCAATATCTGTGTTGATTGGTACAAAAGATATTGCCATGAAGCTGCTAAGATGAATTAACTGAAGCAATTCTAAACGATAGCTTATTGCTCGAATTATTTCAGGTGTTTTTTTGGAAGGCAGGTTAAAACAGGATGTTTTGCTTGTTCAGCTTAACTTTTATCGTTGTCAATTTCCTGGGTATTCGATGTGGATCCAACACCATAGATTTTCCTAAATGTGGACTACCTAGAAGTGACAATTTTCTTGTTTAAGCCAGCACATTTTAAAGGTCCAAATAACAGTTTGCATAATTAATTTCTACTTTTCTAACTCCTAAAAGATGGGGTGATAAATCAACGCACTTTAAAAAATTGTGTCTACCAAAAACCATGGAAATGTATTTGTAATTAAAACGCGGGCAACAATCAACACCAAATTGACAGTGTTCATGAAAGTGGTGAATACTCGTGTTGTGGTGACGAGTTGATGATCATGCTTTCTGTCCGTCACATGTCAAGCTGCTCTTAACATTAAAATGTTGGGATATTCTAATGCAACTTTCCACCCCATGAGTTCGACCCTAAATATTCATGGAACTTTCAAAAGGTGTACCTAGCAGTGCTTTCTAATGCCTCGCAAAACTATTGACGTTGCAAAACTAATTTTCTTGCGGGACACGTACACATTGTAGAAGGTACTCAAGTGTCATTGGACTGCATGCAATTGTTAAGAAAGTGCAAGTTAACCCGGAACATTTCTTTAACACCTATTGCCTATTATTAGTCCCGTTGAAAGAGATGAGATTTGCGTCAAGATAAATGTAGAAAAACGCTGGGAGCAGAAAAATTAGACGAAATTAAAAGTTCCTTGTACCCAGCAAATAAGATGCTGCTCTGATCTTCCTTTGTAGAAAAGAATAACGCAGATAGTAAAAATGCAGCGAGACAAGTTGATTACAAACTGCTATTCATCCAATAGGTGAGATGTAGTATGGTGGTTTTCATCCAATGGGGCAGATTTAAAAAAAGTACCTTGGGCTTAGGGAACGTGATTAGGGGTGCAGCAAGAGGGCTGGTCGTTTTCAGGCAAACTCGATCAGACGGGATTCTAATGACAATGCGAAGACATTACAAAGCAACTGAACTGCAGTAAATAAATGTATCAGATTAAAAAGAAGAGGTTTCAGGCAGTAATGGTGACCCGTTTGTTCTGCGGACCAAATTGAGTGCGAAACAATCATTTCATTGCTTTTATTAACATTGGTTAATAAACGTACAATTTAAATTTCATGGGGAAAATGCGTACACTAATAAAATACATGCATGAGGGGAATTGTTACTAAGAAAGCAGTTGGAGTCGCAAAATTGCAAGAGAGAAGTTGCTGCAAGCGAATGTAGCTAAGTCGCCAGCTAAGCCTAGAATAATTTGCATTCATTCCTTTTAAAAACTGCCAGAGTTATTTGCTCAGCATGAAACAATAAATTTGCAGTGAGGGACTAAAAATAACGATGACCGTTCAGACGACAAAACCTGATGAAATAAAACGAAAATGAAGATGAGGATAGGTGGACCTAATACGCATAATGAAGCACTCTCCAGTATTATTGCTTTAAGAGTGCTATACCGTGAGATGTCAGTCAAGTCGGAAAATGCATGCACAACTCCTGTTAATGCTTAATCACCAGTATCTTAGGCACGCGGTACTGACAAGCTTTTTTCTCGAAATATCATGAACTGTGCATTTGATATGGCACATATAAATATGACTGAAATTTTTCTGAAGAAGAGGCTTACATGTTGCAACTGTATTCGCGTTACTTGTGGAATTTTGCTAAAGTCAAACCTTGCCCCATGTTTGGATGTGAAAGAAAACCATTTCCTAAAATGATCTCATCCTATTGTGCATCAACAAATTTCCCGATTCCCACTTGTGAGTTCAACTCAATGCCAATGTTATGTCAAAAGATTTACCGCGAGAACAAATGGATCAGCAAACCAAAAGCCTTGGTCACTCTGAACATCCATATTAAAATACCTGACATGTTGTGTCCCTTTCTGATCCTCTAATTTAAGGCTGCAGTTCTAAAATTGCTTTTTCAAAGAATATTTGCAGTGTGCTGACAAGTATAGAGGCATTAAGTGGCTTTCACTGGAGCTTATGCACAAAATCTAATTTATGCGCTGCAATTACAGTTTGCAGTTTATGAAAACGAGTTAACTAAACCATGTTTGGGGACCTTTACTCCAAAGTTAGCTTTTGGTTCGCACGAACATTAACCAATTATGCCCCTAAATAAGTCGAGCACTCGAAAGAAACAAAACATTTCTCTTATCTGCGAACTACGTTGACAAGCAGTAATTTTATTCACAGCGGAATAATGCAACTTTTGTCAAGGAAACACACATTGACATTATCATGCTGATCACTGAAGGAACTATGCGCCTTGGCAAGGAAGGTAGGCGAAACAGAAAATTGGCATTTCCCGTGATTTATGAAGCTTCACTAGTTAAATTTACAGTCATGCCTCTTTTGTGCTTTGATGACAATTGAGAAGCTTTCGCTACTGGAACACCAAATGTTTTGACCACTCGGTGATTGTGAAATGTCAGAGAGCATCATGGAATCAAATGATCATAAAGAATTGGCTCTACCATGCTTCACGATAAAATCAGGCAAGTATATTCGTGATGTCGATCGACTGCCACGCCAGAAAACTCTGAAGAGTCTCTTGGAATAGATTTTCAGTGCTGAGACATCGTGTTATTGGGCTGACAAGTCGAAAAACGACTGCCCTCATGTACTCTACACACGATAAAACATTTCATGCATTGCGGGTAAATGAACGGTTTCATCCGCATTGTCGTGTCGCCTACTCACAGTGTTACTACACGTGCATATCGTGTCTGTAATGTTGAGCTTACAGTAGATTTTTTTGGACTTGCTGGCGTAGTCAGAGCAGGGGAGGAGTCGATTTGTGCGCGGAGGTCGACTGCGGACGAACGCCGCCTGCCCTTGTCAGGGAGGCCAAATGGACCCTCGCAGACGGAGACGGTGAGGAGGTTTTGGCCAGCCGGCAGTAAGTGGGTCTTCGTGTGAGTTCCGTTCATCGGGGCCATCGTTGAAGAAGCTAACGCCGATGAAACCGATCGTGGCCTTTGGAGTCTTGGAGCCAATTGAGATGCGTCGTTGTCGTCTAGGGTGAACTTCGGGCGTGATTCCGCATTCGTGTTCATGGTGTTCTCCGAAGATGCACTTATTATCTAAATGTGAATTTTTTTATTATAAATAAACTGCTTAAATAATGTGAATTTACGTAAGATGGCTTCTTAAGAAATTTATGGTTTATTTTGTACACCACGCATGTGCCACTTCTAACAGGCCTTACATATACATCATTACAAAAGCTAATGCTTCATTTATTTAGTAATGACACCATAAATTGAATGTCCTATTTCTTTATATTTTTGGTTGCTTAAAGGTCGCCAAATTTTGCTGCTCAAAATTAAAAAAACCTTCTAACCAATGACTTATTTTCTATAAACCTTTAAATTAACATATCATATTACATTGAATACATGTTTTATGTACTTTAAAGTCCTTCTTATGAGACGTAAAATTGGATCTAAATCAGCATTACGTCTAGGAGCAGCCTCTCTACTAGTACAGTTTCAAGTATTGTCTTAAATCCCTTTGAACAAATAACGTCGTAGGTGGATGCCAGTTAAATATGGTGCCAAAATCTACCCATTAAACGTCTAATTCTCTAAGGCTAGGGACGCCAAACTGTTTCTTAAGTATTTAGATAAATGAAGTTTCGTAAACTGGTTACATCTAGCAGTTTAGGTTGACTGTGATTGCAGCAATTAGAAACGGCGCACTTAGTAAGCATAGTGTTAAATAAGTTTTTGGTTAAAATGAATGCAAGCTTCTCTGTTTCCCTTCGTGGCGCTCACCGGAAGGATAATGTTGCCGCTTCCCCGCCGTTGGATGCATATTGCCGTATTTGGGTACCGGGGACCTGTGGGCAAAGGAGAAAGTTAAGAATGATAATAACTGCCTCAAGAGTTTTCCTCTAAAAAGACATAAATGGCAATGCTTTCTGTAGGTTTTTAACAAAATTCTGTAAATTCTTGGAATTGAGGTTTTTTTAGCGAATCTAACCAAACTCTAGATCGTCAGTTAAATGTTAAAGATTTTATTTGTCTAGTAGTTTAATTTTTCATCGTTCCCGCCGACATTAATATGTTTGCTTTGAAAATTGACAGGACTGTATCAGCGAGTGACCCTTACAGAGTGGACGCACAAACCGAGGTTTTCTTTTCCTTGGAATGAATTTGAACCAATTGTAAGATGGAATTCGCTAAAAAGTTTAATGGTATAAAATTAGAATCGACCACCCCTACATGTGTTCGTGTCCACTTTCATTGATTCCAATAGGAATTTAAAAAAGGATCAACATAAAATAAGAAGCATTTGCATAAGGACAGTGTTGTCAGACTCTAAAAATGTGTGGAGTAGTACAAAAGGAGCTTGTTAAATCAAAGTCATCGACTAAAACATGCACATTGAAACTGAAATAAGTTTATGTATGCAACATGCTTACCAAATGGTTGCTTAATTAGAATACAACTTGGCCATTGTGCCTGTTTACACTGAGTTGACTAGTTTGAGGCTTCGGAATTTTCAAGGATTAAAAAAAAATAATTTCAGATTTATTTATTTGAAATTCTGTAGAACACAGGGGATACGTGGAGATGGCTTAAAATAATTCATTTAATGGTGTTTCAATTAGCTTCGCCGTCCAATTTGGCCTCTGGCAGGGATGTCTATAGATTATGTTAAGAATGCTTATAGAAGCATTTTCAAATATTAAAATCTGGACCAAATTTTTAACAATCCCATTTTTTAATTAAAGCTACTGCGTTAGTGAACTTGTGGCTTAGTTAAAATTCAGCTGGTTCTGTTTGTTGCTCAATAGCTTTTTTAATGCAACTGCTGGAAAAAGGTCATCGGGGAAATAAAGCAATGCAAAATTACGCTGTCAAGTTAGCTTAATGTGTACCTTCGAGGATTTACTGCTTGTTGGTTAATACTTATACAGCCCATCAATTTGTCCCAACTTTAAAAAAAAAACACAAAGTGGTACAACACAGCCAACAAACTTGCAGACAGTAATGCACAGATGGGGACAAATTTCAAGCATTGCCAGAAATACTTTTACAAAGTAGTTGTAAGTCGTCGCCAGTTTTTGCCAATTTTTCAAAAAAACAAAATAAATTTTGCCCTTTTAACCGTGTTTTTGTTTTTGCTAGTAAGATTTTTTAAATTTTAAAAAATTTTGTTTACAAGATGGCTTTTTGTTTTCATGCAGCCAACTGAACACGTTAAAGCCTTGTAACATAAACTCTTCACACTCAAACATTTTGAAAACGCACGGTTATTTGGAGCAACAAATCTGGGTTATTCGATTTTCTTCTGTGTCAGCTTCTTTTTTATTGGTCTGCAGTTTTATTAATAGCTAGAATGAACAGTTTGTATCACCTTTTAGTTGAAAACTTTATAATTAGAATTGTGCCCTTAAATAGACGGTGAGTTTTGTCTCTGGACAGTCAAATTGTGTGGGCAAATATATAACTGTTATTCAAACTCCTGAATTGTTTAACATCAAAATTAAAGCACAATGCCACCAAGACAAAGTTAAACCTGTAATATCGTGGTGTAATTCATTTCCATTTAATCTCGTGTAGACTTGGTGCAAGTGACGAACGATTTGGGTAACCTCTTACAAGATTAGTCTGGATAGCAAAGTCTTCCACTGCACCTTAGTGATCTGTTTTGAGACTTACACGCGATCGAACGATAGCTGGTGTGTTCGTGTAAGGACGCATTTGTGAGTCTACTTTCTAAGTAGCAAAATTTGTCTAACCAAGCACTTACAAAACCTTGCGCGTTGTTATATACTTAAATACAAAATTGCGCTTAGCAGGTATACTTAACGTTCCATAAATTTTAAAAAAAATTTCTTAAAAAAATCTAGTAATAATGCGGGAATTTTCAGTTTTTACCAAATAATTTGCGAATGCTGTTTAATACAGATTTCACTAACTTTATAACCGGTCTTTAATTTCGGCATTTTGTAACTGCCAATAAGGTTTTGCCTCTGCATACTTAAATAAGTTTGATTAAACATAATTAAACTAGCCGAAATCCTGTCAAAAGGGTATAATCCTTTTCACAGCTGCCTTAAAAAGCTATCCAATATTAGTGAGTTGTTTAAGTGACTGTTAATAAAACAAACAAAGTACATTACGATGCGCGATAAATGGGTACTAGGATTCGAGATCTTGGTGATTGAATGCAGATTTTACAAGTAATTAAATGTGCACACATTTGTTAATGCTTAGTCTGCGTGTTCAATGATAAAATAGCAGGCATATTTTAAGAAGACCAGCATTACGTGCCATTTTGACCAAAAAACAGACGGCGGGAAGTTTTTTTCAGGCTAAATTGAGAGAGTGTTTTATCTGTTAGGATAACAAAATATATTGTCAAAACTGCCTCAATGTCCCAATGTTAATCATTTTTTTTGTAAATTCGGTTAACTGACGTTAATCATTTCCGTCTAATCGATTGCCTCTTCTTGTTTAATTTATCACCCACGTTTCCGTTACCAAACTTTTTATCTCTCATTTACAGCCACCAACAGTCATCTGCGATTTATTAGAGGTGTTTTGCACTAACAATCTAACAATCTGGCAAACTGTCGATCCCCCACCGTCATAGACCATCGCGTCCATTTCGAGGTTTAGGCGTCTCGTGTCAAAGCCTCACTGATTTGAGCCTGCATTAGGCTATCTATACATACAATACCAAAGCAAGACAAGCTCCAATGGAACATGAATTCGAAATTTACCTTGGATATAAATTAATGGAAACTACAAATTAAATGTAAAAACAAGTGATAATTGTTGGCACTTACTTTCTCCGTCTTTGTTTTCTTCGCCTAAGTCTCTATAAAAAAAATTAATTATCTTGCATTATATCAACTTGATAAATAGTCACTTTTTTAGAATTAAATTTTAACAAGTGATTGATATTAAGAGCAAAGTTGGTGACACTCACTCCAGATTAATGCAGACTTTTACGCCCTGGTCGGCTGCTCGAGGTTCATTTATCGGAAGATGGTGGATAGACAGGTCTTGACTGCCGGAAGCCTGGTTGGATTCGTTGAGGTAATTTAGGTACTCGTAGAGGGTGGACATTATGTACTTGAACTTAAAAAAGATAAAACAGTAGATCTTACTCACTTTTTTTTAAGATAATACCCTTTGATTTTTGCTTTGTTGGCAGTGTTTTTCATTGTTAGAGGTCTTTTATAAAATGACGTTAAAAAATTGTCAATTTATTCGGTTGTTGGCAAACTATTAGCCACCATCAATTTAATTCCAACACGATTCAAGAAAATGCTACTCTAATGTCCCCACACCATGACATTTAAAACAATAACAGATTCCTAAATAAAGTGCAGCTCCATTATATTATATTAAGGCTGCTGACTGAACGTAATGGATAGAATGGAGTTGTGGAAAAGCTTTACTTCTACTTTAAATGCATCACCTCACTGAACTGCCATTGTTTATTGAGAGTGTGAGGAAGGAGGCAAGGGAGAATTTCCATGGCAATCATTGAAGGCGAAAGGATGGAGCGTCTTTCCCGGAGGATGGTTTTTAACAAACCTTTAAAATAAAATGATAAAACGTTAGGGTTACTGTACGATTTGTAGTTAATTAGTCATCTTTTTGTTTAAATGTTGACAAGATTAAAGTTTTAAAGAATTCAACCACACACAAAATACTAAAATAATTAAATAGCAATAAAAGAATGACATTTTCTTCCCTGTTACACAGGTATTTTAAAAAAATAAATGATTTAAGCACAAAAACGAGTTGTTATTCGTGTATTTTCCACGTTTCTGCCATTTCACGCACTACGTTTTTTGTAAAATCATTAAATACTGCACAAAGAACGTCAAAGATTTCCCTGTCTCTACTTCAAAACGCAAATAAATTGACAATTAAATTTCAAACTTTTTTGAAGAACTCTTCCTTAAAAAGTAGTGCAAATGTGCACCGCATTAAGATACTTAAGAATGCTTGGGACTCCACAGTAGACCAGTCACAGGACGAAGTTAATTTATCCGCATTTCGTGAGTGTCGCATTTTTAGGCCAAAACCATGAGATTTACGCGTGTGAGAACTTAATAAAAAAAACCCATCATTAAATTCCACGGTCTATGAATTTTGCGTGACTAAGGATTTAATTTTCACCACCAAATAGGCCAATGAAAGTAAAAATATTTAAAGTAGGCATTCGAATCAAAGCGTATTCACTTACATTCGGCAACATGTAAGATTTAGGCTGTGGTATGACCAGCAATCTGTGAACGCCTTCCGCAGTAATGTCAATTTCTACCCTACGTGTCTAATGCAGCAAGCCAAGTCCACGAGCACAGTGACGGCTTTTATCAAACAGTGAAGAAAAACGGTTTCGCAATTTACATGCTTATGTTAAAATTAGCCCAAACATCAATATGCCTTGTGAAGTGTAATTATATATTGAGTAAACAAGCGGCTTTTGTCTAACCAGATAAAATAGCCTAAAATGATCCAACGGAATGAAATGCAGCAGAATAATTGGTTTGCCCTACAACGAATCAAAATGCCATAGAGATAACACATAACCTTTGAGAAATTAATCAAATACTTAAGTAGATGTGCGCACAAAATTTAATGTGCTTCGGGGCTAACATGGCATTACTGGCCAAGAAACTACCTAAGAGTTTTTTGCGTGTTTCAGGGTATAATCATTCGGCTGTATCGCATTAATAATTAATACCGTGTTTAGATGTCCACATTTGCCAACGGGGATTTCGGCTGCCCTGTGGACTGGCATAAAATGGCTTTTGGTTAATGTTACTGGCGTTATGGTGTGTACACAATTGCGGTAGGCTTTGTATTCAACACTACAATTAACTTGTGCTAAACTGTTAGTGCGGCAGTTGAAAATTTGTTTTTCTGCTTTACTGCTGTATTAGTCTAAGGGTATCTTCAATGCAACAAACGTTACATATATCACGGGATATCATGCACAATGGGCTTATTGGAACTCAATTTTCAGTGACTAACACTGAAACTACATGTTATTGTGAAATATATGAGGTCAATATTTTCTAAAAGAAATTTTTTGTTGTTTGACAAAATTGAATAAAAAGGCATCATTAATCTGTGAGCAGTTCTTTTCAGGCCATGCAGCTGCTTCAAAAACCAAATTTGTTTCTTGATTTACTAAGTCTGTTTTTGTGAATGAACGCATATCCTGCAAATAACTTAAAGTAAGTGGTCATTTATCACACCAGTTAAACGCTCATGGTTTTTACAAGAGGATAGAAATTCTCATTTGCTTTAACAAATACATTGGAATTTCCCTTTCTTCATTTTTTGGATACTTCAACTCACCAAATTGAAATGTATGTCATTGGCAGTGTGAACAAACAGGTCTACAACAATGGCGACTTTTTGATCACTAAAAGCAAAAGTTGTATTGAAGTCTCCGTAAGCTCAACGGAAACTCTTTCGACGCGTCTAAAAATGTTATCGTGTACACCAAATTCGGAACTGTAAGGCCCTAGATTACATTAATTTCGTCAAAAGTCAACGCGTTTAGGGTTCGTGAACGTTTTGTGGTTTAAAATGTGAAAAAAGTTTGAGTTTTGCTTCAGGAAAGTGGTAAACGCAACAAATCACAAAAAAGCTAGTATTTGATGTGGTAGCGTCTGAGATCTTGTTGCCGCTAATCTCAAAAACACAGATGTGAACACGCCTGGAAGCCAAACATCTGATAAGGTAGACAAATACGCAGCCATTAAACTGCTTCAGAGTTGAAACAAATGTGCGATGTGGCTTAGCATCAAAATAACATCACAAGACTTGCCATCTAGGTTAAAACCTTTAATGGAAGATAGCACTGTTTGAAAAGTCAATTTCGGAACCCCTGTAACTTTACCGCTAAAAAAATCACTAAAAACCATGGTCAGCCTTTCAAAAGTCGTAAAACTCACAACAAATCGATATAACAGGTTCCCCTTCTGACAGGAAAAAGTCAAAATTGATGAGGTATTCGGGAATGAGACAAGGAACCTCATGCGGACCTCTTCCGTCGGTGGTGGATGTGGCGCTGGAGGCAGACTTTTCACCTGCCGCGCCGTAGATTCGCACGGTTGTTCCATTGTTTGCCGCGTCGGCAGCTGACTCCAGGGCAAAGGGAAGCAGGGTGTTCTCAACCACGTCCAGTGGAAGATAAGGCAAAATGTTTGCCATGCACAAAATTGCAACCGATTGGATCTAATCAAAGAGGCGTAATGTGGAACCGCCTGTCATTAGGTGAATAAAACAATGCCAATATCATTCACTAGTGCAATTCAACTCAAAACGTTTTTGAATTTCTTTAACTAGAAATGATTGAAATTTTAAACAAAGGTACCTGCGTGCTGTCAGTAGTCTGTGGACAATAATCTGAATCAACTTTAACGGTGAAGTTATTGTATTTCCTCAAAAAGAACTCAAGAAGATTTTCGCAATGTAGCAAAATAATCTTATTTAAGAATCAAAAACAAAGAAAAGCCCTGAGTTTAGAAACGACCGTGGGCTTAAATACTGGTGGCAAAATATAATTTGAAGTCAACAAGTCTAACACAATACGTCTTCAGCATCAAATACTATTTTAACCAATGTGGATTCACCTCACTCTTTAGCCTTATGATTTGGCTTAGTTTCCAAAGATTCACTTTTTGACACGATTACTTGTTACATCAATCAGGTATTTTTGTGATCAGGGGAAACAAATTACAACTAATAGGCCACGAAAACGGCTTGCCAAAAAACAGGGGGTTTATTATCTCTTAATATTTTTGGCAAGCTTTTACATTTTGCTGGTCTCCTGAGCAAAAAATTGGAAGCGTGGGAGGATATTTGTGAGCAGACAAAGTGGTAATTCGGTTGGGGCGGTAATTAGATCATTTTACGGAGATTATGGCCATGGAAGGATACACTTGATACGTAATTTACTGTAATTAAAACAAACAAAAATCTCAAAAAATAATGTACACTAAATTGTGATAAGATTAATTTCATCTATTAACATAATGTATTAATAGACTCCCGACTTTATGGTGAAGATGGAGGCATTCTGTTATAATAACGCTCTGAACTATCAATTATAAGCCATGTGTTTGTGGAGAGGAGTTTCGCTTCCTGTGTAGCATGTTTGTATACCCATAGTGTCTATTTCCTTAAAAACGCATTACATCCAGCAACAACTAATTTTATTTAAAACCAATTTCCACGAATTTCCTGCGGTCATTTTTAAGTTTCATGAATTAGGAGTGAATTATGAATTTACAACAATTTAGCTATATCGTGTCTTGGATATCTGAATAACTCTGTCGCACCCTTCAATAGCATAATGTTTGCTCGGAAGTGCCACGCAGTATCCGTATTTATTCTATCCGGATTAACAATAAACGATTCGTTTGTAAAAATTCATTGAATAATCATTCCACTACAGGCGTTACCATGGTACTGGCAGTGTTAACATCTAAATATGGGTAGCTGTCGATTCCCTCACTTGGTAAGTTGTAGTTAGACCAGACACAAAGTCAAAATTGCTTCAGAATCAGCTTTGCTAAGCTTAGTTTTGCGCACAAATTTTATTTGTTTAATGCAACGCTTTTTAGCCTATTCACCAGTTTTGCTGAATACGTGTTTAACATTTTTGCCATTTCAAAGTTAGGGGTCTTGAAAATCTCTTCGCCTTTTTGAGTTATAAAACCACAAAGGGAACATGTGGCAGTAACCACGTGTTAGTCAAAGAGCCAGACAATTTTGGGAATGTAATAGATTTTCGCCTTCGTTAATTTAAAACACATAACTTGGGGAGACAACAGACTTAAAATACATTAAAATTTTTGGCTAAGAAAAGGATGAGTAGTGACTATATGATGGACTGCAGGTTTAATTCGAATTTAGGGCAAGGTATTGAGTAACGTTAGGGAGCAAAATCATTTGGCCTGATTTATCAAAACCAGTACGCAAAATATGCCAATATGTACGCTTTGACTTGTAAGCATTGGCCGATTGAGTAAAAAAGCGATTTGAAAATGCCGCCTTTGTTGCACAATGACAAATGTAATGAACACTAGTCTAAGTTATGCGCTGAAAGAACCCACCATATAGCTTGATTTTAATGCTACTCTTTATTAGGATTACTTACCAGAATGATGAGGAAGAGAATGGCAAAAAATGACATTTATCAAATTTCTTGAAACACAGCCAACGGCTAGTCGTCAAAGATTCAAATACTTCATCACAATGACCATTAATGCAATAACATAAGTATTTGAATTATTTTCAAGTCAGCATTGAGAAGCGCACTCACCTGAGGTCGAGAGGAGCTTTTCTTGAACGCATTGACCGCTTTCTGAAGGCACCTTTCATACATTTCAATGGGAATCGGGTACTCGACTAGTCTTGGAAAAGCCTCCATTGCAGCTGCCTTAGGGGAAAAATAACGAAAGCCACTTTCAGCACTCACGAAATGAGAAATCTGAATTTAGGGCATTATTAAGTACCCTCTTTTGAGAACACATTGTTCGAGATTGTCTCATTTAAAAGCGCACGGTAAGTTGACAAAGTCCTTTGCATGCAAACGAGTGGAACCACCTCAAATGCTAAATCGAGTTTAATTTCAATTTCAACCGTTTAAATTTAGATGTAGTATTGTCATATTCATTGATTTTCAATTGTTTTAGGCAGCTGCACTCTCATTTAGTTTGAAGTTGACGAATAATTTAGTCACCCTTTTACATATTCATTGGATAAAGATGTTCACGAAATGCACGGGTCGACAAATAACCTCACCAGAAGTTCAACCGATATCTGATTTGATTACAACGTAGAAACAAAAAACTAGACAGACAAGGAGTGTGTTGCTCTAACTAATCGGAGAATTACTTGAATAATTCAGGATGACTTCCCCATAAATTGATTTGAAAAACAATTCATTTTAACAACATCGTAACTCTGGTTTTGTGTTCAGCTTTCTTTAGTGTGTGCCTGTCCCCCAAGCAAATAACTCGTGTTTGCAAACCTACCTGTGCTTCAACGTTCCGAGAATTCAGGCACAGGCTTAAAAGTGGAAGAATTAGGTCCTTTACTTCGGCTGGAGTGAGGAATTTTGCAAATGATTTTGAAAAACGAAGAAGAGCGGCCTTCACCTAAAACGGGTATGTTTCACTACTTCCTAAAACGCATGTACTACGAATAAAGCAAAAGAAACCATTATTCACTTGGTGCATTACGGGTAACACAAAATTTTCCGAGTTGCTTTAAACTTGCGAAAATGGAAGTTACTTTGTTAAGTAAACTCTTTCCTTTGAATGTTTGGATTCTTTTATCAAAAATGAGAGTTAAAAGGATATCATAAATTTATATGAAAGCCTCAAGTCAATTGTGTAAGTGATTTCTAGTATCTAAAATACTCAACTCGTTAAGCCAAACGTGTGCTATCGTGCGTAAGGGAACTTTAGTGACGAATTCCCAGAGGCAAACCAATTTTGCGCTTGGTAAAATAACTAATGCAGTACATGGGCAAATCATAAAGTACAGCAACAGGAAAGCAGTTTTTTACCATAGTGATGTAAAACTAAATTTTCGCGCGAAATAACTAGATAAAAACACATGCGACTACATCTAGTGGTTCTTAAACGTACTCACTACGAGTAAAAATAATTTATTTAATGCTCTTTGGTCTTGACTATTCCCACGGGCACATATTTCAAGCTTTTTTTTAGCAACGCGAATGAATCCGAGTTAGTGTGACTAGTGACGTCATTTAAACCAGAAAATACTTAAAGCCCTTACAGTGTGTGATACTACCATTTTAGTTTTGCAGTAATGTGTTGTACTATCATTACTGCCCAAATGTTTGTTTCTTCAAAGGAATCTTAACGGCAAAGGGCAATAGCATTCAGAAAGAATTTTGGGTTCATTTTCTCCGTTGGCCGGTTGACTGTCTCTGGGATAGGCTCAATTTTTTTGATGTTTACGTAGTCATAAAAAGTTAGCAGATTAAAAACAATTACTTCTGGCAAACCTGTGATCCATTAGCGGCCTTGAAGACCCTCAAAATGACTTTGTGGATGAGATTGCGGGAGCGCACGTCGACAGCTTTGCTCCCAAGCAACCGAGACATGAGGTAGGCGACGTATTGGGCATTGTGAGGGGTAAACGTCCACGGCGTTCGACCCTTACTGCTTCCCAACGGAACATCGGGCAGTTTGTGGCGCGAATTCGTTGTGACTCGATCAATGCCCTCGAGGAGGCTGGCCAGGACATCCAGCACCGAAAGCATCCAATCAGGCTAGTGGAGTAACGCAAATGCAATCTTAGTTTTTCTGAGAATCGTGCTGCACAGGTTTTATTTCAATTTTAAATGATGCCTTAAAAAGCCAGTAAAATGGCCAATGAACAATAATTTTTCAACATTTACCAAATTACGGACATTTTTTGGTGTCACTTGGTTTATTACCCCTGATGTAGTCCTTTGATGGTAAACCTTAACGACTTCAACCTCGAGTATCAAATGATACCCATTCAAAGTACTTTCATTACTTTTTACTGGGCTTCAAAATCAGCCCAATGCTCTCTTTGTGAACAAGTTTAGTTCATTTTCCTGTGCAAATATCTAAATTTCACAAATCAAAATTATGCCATGCAAGATTTAACTTTTTTGGATAAGTTTGGCTATAGCATCTTGTCAGATAAGCTTGCATAATGCAAAAGGGAAAATTGTGTGAAAGTGCCCTTCCTTCGGTTGAGTTTGACTGTCAAGTTTGCTAGTCGTGAGAAGAAAACCATCGTCAATTTAGTAAATGTTAATCAGCCGCAGGAGAAATTATACAGATCTTAGGTGAGGAAGCAGTCACTTCACATTTTAGTTTTCAAGCTTTTAAATCAAGGCATGTTGAAAATGGGGGCTACACTTTATCCTACGGAATGGTTTGGTGATTTGGCAGCAACAATGAGCGATATTTGGCTAACTAAAACATGGGAAAAAATATTACTGGGTTCACACATTCAGTGCACTTACGGACATGTACGTCTTGTTAGCTGCTTACTGGATCATTTAAGTACTGCTTTCCCAGTGGTTTTGAATCGACCACACCAGATGTGTAAGATCACAAAATTTATTTGACGAACAATATCTGGAATAGAATGGCTAAGGCCTGAACGATCTGGAACTCTTATGCATTATCACAGACATTTAATCCCTAATTACGCAGCATATTTTCAGTCTAGTGTTTTGTGATACACTTCAGCCAACAAGTTGTAAGTGTATTGTCAATTATGCTACCAAAAATATCCAATAAATCTTTCTAATTAAAGAGAACCATGGCATCAATGGTTCCGTCAAAAAACAGTGAACCATCACCGGTTACAGGTTAGTCAAATTTTTTTCAGTGATAAACTTTTAAAGATGTTCTTTTAAAATATTTGTGGTTACCATTCATTAAGTTATTGGCTTGTACACCCTGATAACGGTTGGTCACGATCAATAAATGTTTTAGCAGAGCAAACTTTAGTTTTATTTTAAAAACCAGAAGGTATATTTGACATGTGTTTGACTATGTTAACCAGAGACCTTAAAGTATGCGTTTAGTGAAATCAACTTTATTAAAAAATTTCAACGTATTGTTTCTAGAAATAAAAATATAAGAAATTTTATCCCTGGGAAGCAACACTACGACACACTCAAAATAGGCCCACAGACGTGTTTATTAAAGCATTTTTTTTAAAAATAGTAGTCGTTTAACTTGTTTTTGTTTGCATTCGAAAAAAATTCTGTAATTAACCAACTTACGTTGTCATGATCCTGAAACACGTTGTCGCAATTCACGATTAGAAATCGCTTTTCCTCTACCGAACTTTCCTCGTAATTGCACAAAATTTTCATAAAATTTTCTTCAGTGTCTTGGAGTTGAGATTTCTAAAAAAATATGAAAAATCGTATTCAAGTTCTGAAATAGTCAATACCTTGCATGACACCGAAATTTGGATATTGCAAATACTGATGACCCTCACATTAATGAATTTTACACCTTAATTTCGGTAATTTTTTTTAACATGAGATGAAAGTGCGTGAATGAATTGGTGTTGGCTTGTAGATAACAACTTTTGACGTAAAGGGTCACATGAGATGACATCAGCAGTCAGCGAACGCCTTCCCCAACCCACAAGTTCCCTAAAGCCTCAGCTTGGTATGACTTACAGAAGGAAAACCAAAGGGTTCCAATATATTGGGTGAAGAAGTATGCTCTTGTCTAACCTGAGTATATAACTTAAAACTGATAAAACAGCCAAGGATGGTCAAATGAAATGCAGCTAAACATTTGGGTGGTTTACAATAGTAAAGCATAGACATGCATTTTTTGCTTACAGAAACCTTGGCATCGCTCGCGTCTGTCTTGAGCGCATGCTGTGAAGACATGCTTGGGTACAGTTTAAAAAATTGGCTTATATTTAGGGATTGTTCTCATATTTTCTTCAGCACATTATTGGCTGACTAAATTAGCCAATCATCCTTGAGTGAACTGCTGCAACTCTAAGTGAGTATTTCGAAACTTCTAGTTTACATGTTACAATTAATTGTATGTTTTAAGGGTCACTAATGTTTTTTATTCTGGCCAATTCACCAGATTTGTTTAATGCCTTATTTTTATCTTGTTTTACATGGGATAATATATATCTCAGAAGATAGCCTAAATACTTTGCACTGCCATTTTGTAATTTCTGCTCAAAAATTTTTATAAAACATCTGGAAAATTTAAAACTCACTAAAGCATGGAGTTTAACAGCCCTAATCTTGGAAAGCTCTGCAAAATTAATGACAAAAAATATAAAATTGTATGTCTTTTAAATAAATAAATAAATCGTGAGCCACTTGTCAGTACTAGGACACTCAATCAACCTGACTTCACATACGAAATTATTCAATAATTTTTTTAACTAAAGATATCAATGTGAACTACTCAAGTTTTCGATTTCCATGAGAACACCATTGGATTTGGGTTAAAGAAGAAGCATTCGGAGTTCACAAAAGTAGCTGTCAGAATTACCCTTGACTGCTTTGTAATCGAAAGCTACAGTCGGGTAGACAGGCTTCAGAACAAGGCTTTTTAAAAGACGTTAAGCAGAATATAAGCAAGTATTCATTTCACTTAAAATTCAACAAAGTTAGATTCAAGCTGATTAAACAACCCGTTTCGGAACTGCAATTTATGCACTGGCCAACATCGGTCTGCAATCTCAAATGAAGCATATGGCTTCATCGACATTGATATTTATAATTATTTTGTAAAATCAGTTTAAAAAAAATGAGCAGTGGTAAGTTTGTAACCTCCACTTGCGTCTCCACAATGAGTTGTTTTCTAAACATAAGGACTTACAACATGGCCCAAAAATGATTGAGATAATAATAAAAATTCGACGAAAAGATATTTACCTCTGACCTCAATATCAAAATCTTACCTATGAAAAAGATAGAACAAGTTGAATATTGACACAAAGAGAAAATCTAAATTTATTAAAAATTTTTCTTGAGCCATAAAACCTGGTCTAGTTCGGAAAAAATCCAAAATAATTATAATTGGACGCGTTTTCCTTCCTACACGCCTTCATGGGAATGAATTAAAAAGTTATTTTTTATGAAATGTGAAGTCATGAAGATAGAAGATGGAAGTTTGACACTTTCGAAACAGCAAGAACAGCATCCATTTTACCTTTAAAAGGCTAAAATGATTATACCTTGCATACCTTGTTGAGAAATTTGTATTCAAATTGCTGAAAATATTCTCCATGGATTTGTGGTTTAAACATTTTCTAGGGCACTTTTAAAATTACGCCTTTCGACTTATGAATGGGGTTTATGTCTTGAAGTATTCAACTACAAAGATAACAAGATTAAACTAGCACTTTAGTGGATCGACACCAACAAGTGGCATCTCACGATGCTTTGTGCCAACCCGATTCCTGTAGTTTTTAAAGAAGAGAGAAGGCTTTCGTTAAGGTTTGACTTCCTCGGACCATAATTAATGTGGCATTTTAAGGACAAAAAAGTGTATCATCTTAATCAAACACAATCTCTACGATTATGGTTACTGTGTACCGGTACAGATGCGAAAGCCTGTAGCGGATTAACAGCGATCGCGCCTGAGTGAACCATGGTTACTCACCTGACGGTGACAATGACTCATCTCCCTTTCATTGGTTACTGTATTAGACGCCTGTCATCCGTTCACTCATAGACACACTTGGCTGGCGTGACGCTAATAAACGGTCGTGTCCTCTCTCGCCTCTCTCTCTCTCCATTCTCGGATTGTTACGGGCTGTTAACTAGAGGGTTGTAAGGTAGTGCTTAGACCACTAGCCACTACACGTACCGGCTGAGTTACTTGCTTTGGGTATATTAATCCAGTTCGTAATTTTGTAACTATGGACGCGTGAAATCTGATAAAGCATAATTCCGGGTGGCTATGGCAGACTCAAAGCGAACCTTGGATGCGTCGTTTTGCTCTGCGTTGTCTTCGTGTGATGTTTTTTCGCCTTGTTTTAAATTGAGTTATTTAAAATCAAATGGTATCATAGGTAACATTTAAGTTGATTCTTGATTTTACTCCGTTTCTGTGATTTTATTTGACATACAATGAAATACCAAGAATGTTCTATTTGGCTAATCGGGTTTGCTTGTAATTCAGTGCCAGAGATTTCCGAGCAGAAAACTAAAAATGATAATTAAGGGAATTTTGTGGAATAAATATTTCGGTCGTTCTCAGTGTATGAAAGGGTGCTGAAATCGTTTAGATATTGGACCATGTCGCGACTTTGCAAATACGAAAACACACTGTACTATGAACTTATTTTGAGAAAATCCACGTCCATCTACCTATTCTTACTCTGAATTAAATAACATTGATACTTAGAGCTGAACCGGAATTAAAAACGCAATTTATCATCAGTTTTGGGTGCCAGCTACATTAGATTTGTATCGTTACAATGTCCATGATAATCTGCGGTATTCAAAGAGTCAATTCGTCTGAGATTCGTGATAATATGCCTGTTATTTTGCAAGGTCTATGATCATCCCAAGAGTTCAATTGCCAGTTTTTCTGTTACCGTTTTTTCCTTGAGGTTTTTCCTGCTTTGATGCTGAGAATTTGTCAACTAATGCTGTGCCCTTCAGACGCCTTCCTAGAGCAATTATGAAAAAACATGTTACTGTTAGAATGTCTAGGAGCCCATATTAATTTATTGCCCTGGTTAAAGGTTATCATTAAACCATGTCTCCTTCAATATAACCACCTTTGTAAAATCAAATTTAAATATTTGCAGGGTTGGGATCTCACCGGCAAAGAGGCGGACGGTCTTTGGCTCACGTCGAGTGATTACATTAAACACTCTACTCACGTTTTCTGTGGGAACTAAGGGGAACGGGCTGACAAATGAGTACAAGTAATTCTTCTGACGTCGATTCTTCAAGTTTGTGCGCGTTTTGCCACTGTCCTGTGTACAAGCTGTGACTTGATTCAATTTGTGACCTCAACGCAACTGGTCATGCCATGGCTTCGATCCAAACAATCGTGCTCAATGCTGGCGTGGATCTCATGACACTGAGTCTGTCTCGTGAGCCTGGACAGCTCTTTTCTGAGGTGGCATCAGGTCCTAGACTTGATCTCCCAGATAACTCTCCAATCTAGGTCAATTTTCAGCCTGTTCTGTGGACTATACATGGAAAAACATCGTTCCATTTTTAAATTAACTTCGTTTCGGTTTTGCTTAAGTGATCTTGGTCACGCGAAGTGCGCATTTTGTCTAAACGATCACGTTGTCAAGTCGCGAGATGACTTTGCATGTACACTTATCCTCCAGGGCTATCACTATGACCTAATGCGACTACAAA